TGGTTGGTATCTAATTGTAGGTATAATTGCAGGTGTCCCACCGCCTGCAGAAAGTCTTTCAAGGCCCAGAAAAATTATCCGAAATTCTCGGGAAAATTCGTCTAAAAGAGGTTCGATCCACAATAAGGCACACAAAAAAATCATAGATTGGAAGATGTCTAAAGTACTCTACATTTTCCTGGAGAGAATTTAACCACAGGGTCAAGATTCATTTGACACGAGCAAGTTTTCGAAAAAAATGAAAATTGCTGCCCGAAAGATGAAAAACTGAATTGAAGCTTAAATTCAAATTCGTTTCAGTCACTTTGGATTTTTTTTTTACATTTCGAATATCAAAATCTTGCTGCTATGACGAATCGAAAAATGTCATGAGAAAATTTGCTGGAACAGGGAGAATTTTTTGAACTGAATTTTTTTTTTATCGTTCAGACTTCTGGAATTTATTTCCATAAAAATGCTGTCTTCAATATTCAAGCTCTCTAGTGATTTAGCATTTTTATTTTCACAAAAATCGCTAAATCGAAGTATTTTCGTTTGTCATAACAACATGACAACAACAAAATCCCCAGAAAATAAATTTTCAACGAAGTATCTTATCTGATCTAGGAAAAACCATTTCCTAATATGCTAGAGAAAAGAGGAAGAAAAAAACTTTTTGAAACATCCATTCCCGTGTTGTGAGAAAATGTGGATCAAACAAAAAGCGAGAATTTACGAGGAAGTGCGGTCTGTTGGGTCCTTGAAATCTCTTGAGCCGGACGATCAATAAAAGAAAAAATGAGTGAAGCAAAAAAACAAAAAACAAAAACAAAAAAACGGTCTGAACGTTAGAAACGCTCCTGAAACGATTTTCTTTGGTCTTCGCCTCGGGCAGTGAATGAACTTGAAATGCACCTGGCTCACGCACGAAAAATTTTTTCCGCCAACCGTGAGAATAGAGAAGGAAAAAATTATGTGTTATTTTTATAAATTGCTTGTTTTTATTTATCCGAGGGGGAATGCAGTTATTTTCTTTGCGTATTTCTCGACGCCGAATTCAAGCAGAATTTTTTTTTCTTTCTGGTGAGATGAAATATATGAAGCAATCGAAGATGGGGAAGATTTTGCTTTTTTTGTGTGTGTGTATGAGGTCTTGAAATTTTTACGGGTAATGAGATTCTTTATCGTCTTACTTCCATCGCGTCGAATTTTTGTTTTGATTCGCAAGTGTTTAAAAAAAATTAATCTAGCCTTGGTCAACAATGGATTCGTTTATATTTTTTAGAATCCAGTAACTTCGTATCGGAACTGAATAAAATGTGAAGATTTAAATTTACTGAATGTATTTCGTTTTTAAAGCTCCATGGAAATGCATCGCGTTATAATTGCATGCCTTTATTTTTCGTGTCATTCTCTTCTGTAATTTTGCCAATTCTTCTTGAGGTTGGAAGAGAAATCTGAGACTTTTTTTTTTTAAACTTGACGTAATGCAAATGTATTTCACAACGCTTAATTTGTTTCTTGTCGTACATCATCATCATGCATACAACGTGCTGAAAATGCAATCGGCTGCTGATCATCAATTTTTTTTCTTCAGAAAAAATGAAACAAACAAAAAAACACGCCACTTTGGAATGGAACAAACAAACAAACAAAAATTTGCTGCCGATTTGATACTCGATGAATAAAACACGGATTGATGTTGATACAAGATTTCAAGAAAAAAGTTCCGATTCTCGTGTGGAGAAAAAAAAAATATTTCGAACATATTCCCCCATATTTTTTTCCGATGACAGAGATTTTCAAGAGGAATGTATTTTATTCTGCCCTTGGATGAATGCTATGAATGGTGAAGTGCGTTTTCGCACTCTTTTTTTTTTCTTTTAAATAATTGATCGAAACTTGTTTCTCTTTTTTGCTCTTTAAATTCGTTTTTCCCTCCCATCTGTACATGTTATGCCTCTCCTCTTTCGTTTTAACACATGATATCACTCAACAGCAAATGAGTGAGCAAATAATGATTCCCCGGAGCCATTTTCGTTAGTTTCCCGCCTTCAGCCGTCGTTTTTACTTTTTTTGCAGAATACAAAATCGAAATCAATAGTGAGTTTTAAAGAGGAAAAAAATATCTTCTCACGGGAAGATTTCAAGCAACTCGGTTTCTCTCTACTTTTCCTGGTCCAGACAATTCCTGTGAAATCACTACGTCGCCTTCGAAAGATGTTCAGTGAAATTCTTCATGATGTGTGTGCGAAATTTCGGCAGAATCTGGGGAGGGTCGTTTTCTTCTCTTTTTTAAATGAAATGGTGGGGGGAATCAGAAAGTAGCTAGACATTTTTGGGGGGGGGCAGTGATTTAGTGATGGTAGCCGTAGCCGTAGGGGGCGGCTTGGTGGTAGTCGACGGCTTTGGTGACGTGGATCGGCGGCCGAGGAACGGCGACGGCGTGGACGGAGTGTTGGTAGACGGGGGCGGAGACGTCGTAGGCCGCCACTGCGATGGGCGAGAAGTCCTTGGGCGCCGTCGGCGCCAAATTTGAGCGGAATCCGTAGGCGTCGGCCACGTAGTTGTTGGTCAGCGTCCTGCCGTCCGGCAATGGGTGTCTGTTTCATTGTTTTTTTTATTTCGAACAAATAAAGCCCCAGTAAGTAATGTAATTTATGCAATTTAATAGATGAAATACCTTCGAATTTCAAGAAATAAGGGAACACATTCGAGTTGGGGGAAACAAGTATTTTTGTTGGAAGGAAAGAAAAAAAATTACAGGAAATTTTAATTCGTAATATTCTGTGCTTCGAACTTTTTTGAATGTTTTGCAATGGGTGTCTGTTTCATTTTTTTTCCGAACAAACAAAGCACCAGTAATTAATATAAATTAGGCAATTTAATAGATGAAATACAGTCGAACCTCTTTCAGTCGAATTTCAAAGGAAATAAGCGAACAAATTCGAGTAGGGGAAACAAGCATTTTTGTTGGACGGAAAGAAAAAATAATTACAGGAAATTATAATTAGTGATATTTTGAGCTTTGAATTTTTTTTTCGAATGTGTTGCAATGGGTGTCTGTTTCATTTTTTTCCTCCGAACAAATAAAGCCCTAGTAATCAATGTAATTTATGCATTTTAATAGATGAAATACAGTCGAACCTCTTTCAGTTGAATTTCAAAAGAAATAAGCGAACAAATTTGTGATAGGGAAAGAAGCATTTTTTTCAAGGAAAGAAAATTAATTACAGGAAATCATAATCAGTAAGATTTTGAGCTTTGCATTTTTTTGAATGTGTTGACAAGATGCTGAACTTGGAGGCAAGGGTTCATTTGCCCAATTAGTCTTTCACTTCCTTTCGAAACCCACCAGGTTACAATTTCATTTCTTTTCTCTTTCGTGTGTCAATAAAATGATATCGAAAAAGGCCTCCAGAAAATTCGAGTTAGGGAGGTTTTTAACGCACTTTTTCTGAGGGAATTCAGGCACAGAATTAAAAAAAAAAATGCATGAAGATGCTCAGAAATGTTGATGATAATGTCTTATTGAGCTAATGAGGTAAAAAAAAATCTTGGAACTAAATTTCGAATCGCAATTTTTCTTGGCGATGAAACACTTATGCCGTGTGTGCTCTTGTTATACTGTATAATTTTATTCTTTCCGAATTGCCTCTTTACTTATTCTAAATTCCTCATAATCCCGAGTATGCGTAAATTTATTTGATCAGTTCGGCCTTTTTTTTTTTTAGCACAGACCACATTTGTTTCCGCAGAAAAATAATAGCTGAGTAATTCGGGTGCGGTTTATATTTAGTTTAAATTGGATCGATGAAAAAGGACCAAGTCGACGGAAAATGAGGCGAAAAAATCCTACCGCAAAATCATATGTGAGGGAAATTAATCACGAGTTTGATTTTGCGGTTTGGAGTTGAAAATGTGTCCATCGAGTCCACATTGTCAGCCGTTTAATTTATCGTTGCCTCCGTAAGATTGATTTCATTCGTGTTCCATGGTTGCAAAATTAGAAGCTAGTTTATAATCGTTTAAAGATGCTCTTGTGGTGTACATTTGGGAGAGGCTTTGAGAAACCTCTCATCATAACGCGGTTGCCAATAAATGTTGAAAATTAATTCATTGCTGGGAACAGAATTTTATTTCGTATAAATTTAAGGACAAAAAAAGATGAGGACGTCAATGATCTTTTCCCGTCGTTAAAATAAACTTGAAGAATGCTGAAGTCGTCATCGATCAATTTGACAAAAGAAAAATTATGTCTCACTGGAACGTAGAACTCGGAAAATATAATTCTTTATCTCACGAATGATTTCTTTAAAATATTTGTAGGTCAGTTTTAGAAACGAAATTTTAGTAAATTCAAGCTCTGTTTTTGAACAGCTTCTCATTCTCAAAATGTTCTTCGTGGCGTACTTTTTCACAACATTTTTTTTCCATCGTTATACTCGAGTGAATTGCTCGCATTGAAGTATGAAAATTTCCTTGATTTTCCTAATCGAGATTTTTTTTTAATTTGAAAGCCTTTATTTTCTTACGCGCTTTCTGCAAGACTGGAATTTTCTTTTCCACAATAAATGCTTAGTCAAAGCTTATGTTGAGAAAATATATTCTTGATCCGAAAGAGATCCGGATGAAGTTTTCTTTTATTCAACTAAGCTTCTTCAACGTGAAAAATTTAGAAGTATCGGGGGTTGTTATTTTATGCGTGCAAATACGGTATTATGACGTTAATAGTTACTAGACGCGCGCACGAATAATAACCTTTTTATTTTTGTTGTACTCATTCCTGTGGTAAAGGTTCAATGCTTCAGAAATTACCTTCAGTCGAATTTCATTTGAAGTACTATATTAGCTGTCATTTGTAAAAATTCGAAAAGTAATTATTTGGTTTATAATACGATTTTGGATCGGGTAGCTTCGAAGCGATGAAAACGCAAGATGGCTTGAACAGTGGTCATGAGGCGACATCTATTTCCAGTTGATGTTAGTGTCACTTGACGGTGACTGAACCTCAGCTTCTTTTCGTTCAATTGTAGATAACCGAAAAAAAATCTATCAGTGAAATCAAAAATCACGTGGAGGGATAAATTCAGTGGATATCCAAATAGTGAAATTATAAGTGATAGAAAAGCTTTGAAATGAGAACGAATTAATGCTTCTGATGCATTGTACATGTACTGTATAACCTTCCGAATGTTTCTTTTGGTCGACCATATTTTCTATTTAAGATTCAAGCTGCAAAATTGGAGGCTGGTATTAAAAATGACCTGCACAGTTATATATTATCTGTAGCTCAAAACCATTTAGATTTTGCTTTTATTCGAGTTACGTTTCTTCTGGCGAATGAATCATCTCCTAATACTGTATTGCTCTTCTTGATTTTGAAAATTTTCACACGCTCACACCTCGATTTTTCAGGGCATTTTCGATCCATGGGACAGTTTTTTGGTGTACTGTACAGTATTTTCCTTATATTGTATTGTTTGAAAGTGCTGGTACGTGAAATTCCCTTTTTGTTGTGCTTTTACCGGCTGTTACCAGTGTAAGTAGTCTATTTTTTCTTGAGATTCAGTAATATTATCTTTGATCGGATGAAGACCACGGAGAGGTTATTTAAGTCGTGGGAAATTTCTTTTCTTGACCTTGAATGCTTTTCAGAATGAAGAAACCTTTTTCAAGAAGTTCATTCGAAAAGCATAATCGTATACCTATGGTTTCGATCAATAGGTTCGTCAACATTAGGAAAACAGGTTTCGTTTACAAAATTTTTAATTTTTAGTGCTGTTCTCCGTGTAAGGAAGTTTTGTATCAAAGCATGAGCAGCCCCTTTACGACGATAATCTCTTTAAATGTGTTTTCAGTCAAGAAAAAAGGTGATACGAAAAAACAACATTCAGGAGCAGGCTACTGTTAATTACATTTTAAGATATATTGCGGAAAAATATAAATACCCTGTAATTATAGACGCGGAAGTGAACCCAGTTTAGAATAAGAATTAAAAAGCGAACAAAAATTTTTAAAGAAAATTAATCCTCAGCACCTGTTTCAGACGCATGCAACTTTACGGAACCCAACTCCTGAATGAAGATGATAATTTAAAATAAAATCTCCACTTGTAAACGAACAAAAAATTAGTTGGATTAAATTAAATGTTACCAAGTTCTGCAGTATGCCTGGGGCAAAAAGAAAATTAAACAAGCCGTGGAAATGCACCCTGATCATGATGAAAAATTCAAGGTTAACGAAATACTCGTCGTTATGTAGAGGAATATTAATTGTTCTGGGCTGTTTTCGACGTACAGTATTCAACTTCACGGGACTCAACTACCGAGTCCAGCAATTATTTGAAATAAAATGCCACGACTTTCAAACGAGAAACGAAACATGTTTTCGAGTACGTTACAGAAAAGTACAAATAGGTCTTGCGAAAATGCCTTGGTTGCAAAAAAATGAAGAGAAACAAGCCGCTGAAATGAACCCTGATCGAGATGAAAAATTCAAGGTTAACAAAATAATCGTCGTTATATAAAACGAATATTAAATGTTCTCGAGCTGTTTTGGACGTAAGCAACGTCACTACTGAAACGAAAAAAAAAATCTTAAAAATATATTTTTCTGAACAAAGAAAAGGATAATCGAGTCCAGAGTGCCTTGAGCAACGAATGAAAAAGAACCCAGACGCGGAAATGAACCCAACTTGCGATAGATATGCAAAAAGAACAAAATAACATTCGTTATAGAGAAGAATATCATTTTTGAGGAACTGTTTGAAACGTTTTTTAACGTCACTGAAACTTAAATACGTTTTGACTCTCTTTCGACTTCCATTTTTGAAAATCTTACTCGAGTAAAAATCTTATTTGAGTTATGTATAGGTTTGAAGGAGGTTTTTAATGTATTGTTTCTAAGTCTCAGATGAGGACTTGAAAATAATTCGACGGCTATAAATACCGTATTCATACTCGAGTACCACGTGTACATTTCTTTTAAATTAAAATTGAGGGGAAAAAGTGCACATCATAGGCGAGGATGAAATTTGCAAAAAATTTGGAATTTTCAGGTGCGTGTCATACTTTAATACAATGGAAAACTTTTGTCAGGAATTGTTTTTTTTTCCAAACCAAAGCAATTTAAAATTGATGAAATGCTGGTTCTAATCATATGTTAAATTTTGGATGCTATTGCCTCTAATTTTTTTTTTAAGTATTGTAGTTTTTCAGCCATTTAAAAATGGCGTCTGCGTCTTCTTCGGGGAAAGAATTTCTTCAAAAATTTTAGGGCGGCTAATGTTCAAATTTGCTTTCTGGTGCGTATTATTTTTGAAGAATTGTAGTTTTTCAGCCATTTAAAAATGGGGTGTACGTGTACGTCTTACTTGGGGATAGGATTTCTTCGAAAATTCAGGGCGGTAAATATGTTCAAATTTGTCTTCGGGTGCGTCTCATTTTAGAAGTTTCGTAGTTTTTCAGCCGTTTAAAAATGGGGTGTACGTGTACGTCTTACTTGGGGATAGGATTTCTTCAAAAATTCAGGGCGGTAAATATGTTCAAATTTGTCTTCGGGTGCGTCTCATTTTAGAAGTATTGTAGATTTTCAGCCATTTAAAAAATGGGATGCGCGTCTTGATCGGGAATCCGATTTTTAAAATTTTTTTTCACAAATTCATGGCGGAAAATCGGGGAAGCGTGTCACATACTCCAGGGCTTTCGAATAAATGCGAGTTAAGATGGAAGTTGTTTGATTTTTTTTAATTCTACTTGCGGAGCCTTGAGTTATCGAGGTTCGTTGGTAGATTATTTTTAATTTCTTTTTTTTTGGGGGGGACTCACGAGTAGGTTCCAGTGACGGTGCCATCAGGGTGGCGGGTCTCCTTCTTGGCGCCATTGGGCTCCGCGTAGCCGTAGTTGTAGCCGCCATGGGGAGTCTGGGCGTGGAACTGGGACCGATCCTCGGTGTATTTCCCGAAATGGACGCCGTGGTACAGGGGGTGTTGGTGCAGTGGCAACAAGCTGGCGGCGCAAGCAGCGGCCAAAAATGGCAAAAGCACCTGTCGACATCGCAACACGGATTTGAAGAGGAATGTAAAATTTGTCAACCCTTTACATATACAGTATATACAGTATTTATACATACATTTATTATTTAAAGAAAATCTTTTTACAAATAAAGAAGGATTTGTTACGCCTCCGGTGTTGAAACTTTTTTTTTTTGGAGTTCTTGAAAATAAAATAGCACGCAAAAATCGAATCGACATGAATTGAAATACTGTAGTGCATTTTATTCCCGGTGAACTGAGATCATTGAAGTACTGTATCGTGCTTCAGTGAATACTGTAAAATTCACCTCGTTCACGGGTTTTTGAAACTAATGATCCGAACAACTCGGAATTAAATGAACGAATCAATTTTTGAACTATTTAATGGGGGCAATGTTTAAAAAAGCGGTACGGTATAATAATTTTACCACGAGACGAAAAAATTCAGTTCTGACTCCAAAAAAAAAAAAAAAATCATGTTCGCTTTCATTCAATCACTGCTGGATCCATTTTTGAATCGAATACTGTAAAGTACTGTAAATGGACCTAAATTGTCATTTCTGCAGCATAACAAAAGAGACGAGATTTTAAAAATTTTGTTGAACGTTATCAAAAATATTTTTCAAAATGTAGAATAACACGGGCACGATTTACTCCCCAGGTTTTCAAAAATTCCTTAAGAAGAAAAAGCATCGGTTGACACTCAAACTCCACCAAAAAGTTTTCATTCGAAAACAAATTCTAGAACAATAAACAATAAACCGCTTTTCTGTCGAATCTCGACGCTATTCACGCAGCTGAACCTCGTCAAGTCGAATCTCCCGAAATTGAAAACATTTTTGTATTCAGAAGGATTTTCAGTCAATCCTTGGCAAAATCTTCTCGAATGCAACGCAATGTTCAACTTCTTCAACTCAAAACATTTTCCGGCGAAGCTCGAATGTTTGAATTTTGAAGGCCTTTCTTAGTGAAGTAGACATAATTTTTGGAATATTTTCTAACAAAAAGAAATAGGATCCAAATTTGCTAACTATATATGACCTCCAAAAGATAATAAACACATTTCCTGAAAATAGAACATCTCAGAATAATACACAGTTATAAAAATTTCGTGGGAAAATAATTTCCATCAAAACCTATAAACGCAAATGAAGCCAAATTCTCCCAACTTGAAAATTCTCCAACATTTCTTTTTTTAAATGCGGAATAATTTAGATTTATCCGTTGCAATGTTTTATCTATATGCATTTTTGCATTAGATTTTGTGGTAGCATCATGAGTCTTAGGTAATTTAATCCTTGTCTCGGCTATTTCATACTTTTCAGTTGATCAATGAATGATTATGATAGTTTTGTTTGTTTGTTGTTGTCTTTGTTCACTTCAAAATTCTTTCAATTCGAAATTTTCCGAACATTGGAAAAGATTTTTTAGCCTCTGTGAAACGAGGCTCCCTTTGAATTTGAGCGTCTTTGAAAAAATACTTACAATTGAGTTCATCTTCGGGGTAAGTTGGTGAGCTGAAATTTTCGCACTGGAAAAAAATATCTGGGGAGATTTTTCAAAATATCTGCGAGCAACTCAACACTTGGAGCTACTGTGAGATGTGAACTGATGCCGAGGACGAAGCCGGAGATCAGCTTTTATACACACAATACCGAGTCTCTCTCGCTCCCTTGTTCCGTGCAAAAAATTTGCGCTCTCGCCGAGATTTCGCGTAATTTACTCCGCAAAAGGGAGTGGCTTCTGCAAAATAAAAATGGGAAAAAAATGAAAGGGAGAAGGAGTGAAAGACGGTTATAACCCAGACCCAGAAGAAAAAAAATGTGGGAGTAACCCCAAAGTATTTTTCTTCTTTTTCTTCCAAAGTTTGACTCATGAAAGTTGCGCAAAAGGAAATTTTGGCGGTGCGGCAGGGATCGGTTCGAATTTTTGCGACCGTGATTCGATTTTCGGACTCCAGAGAGACGGCCTTCGATTTTAATTGTCTCGGAGGAAATTTTAAAGCTTATAAGGATTTAAAGTTCATGTTTGTTCCTTTTTTACTCTCAATTTTTTTTTGGATCTCTTTCCTAAATCCGGGACGCTTATTTTCCGTATCATTAATACCGGAGAAAAAATAAAATGAAAGAAGAAAAGAAATTTGAAATTTTGGGTGCGGTGCTGGTGCGAAATTCTAGAAACGGGTTTGAAAGCTTGAAGGATACGTTCTCTCTTCCGACGTGACCTGGATTTTCCTCGCCTGGTCGCTGAAATTTCCAGCTGACCTCGCACCCGAAAAAAAAAATTTTTTTTCGTCGTTCAAAAATTATTCTCGGGTCGAAATCTGACGAAACTTTCGGTCAAAGTTTTTCTCCTGTTCCGCGACGGAGAGAATAAAAAAAAAAGATTGAGCGAATTCTCAACATTTTGGCCTTGATCTTGATGCTTTTTATGCGCTGTTTTTATTTTTTGAAGATGATTTCGTGCATAAAACGTTCGCGAAATAATGTTGGGCGTGGTCTGCAATTTTTTTTTCGCTTTTTTTCTACAATGTACCGCTTAGATGACTTTTCATTTTGATTTTCTCAATCTGCGGGAGACTTGAAGGAGAACGTAACTGTTCCCTGCTTGTTGATTACCTCCAGGTAGTTTCTTTGAGGTTTCAACGGAGTTACTTATTTCTTTCCAATCCGAAGCTTTTGATGGGTTTTTTTTTCCTCTCCCCAATCCGGGATTGATCATCCAATTCACAAAAAAAAGGAAAAGATTTGATTCATGGTCATAATTGTTACCGTCTGCGATTGAATTGATGCTCATGATCACCAGAGGTTCCTTTTTGAAGTACTGGTGAAATTCCGTTATTTGAAATACCATCGTAACGACATTTTTGGCACGAGGAATTTTTTTGTGGTCTCGGCAAAAACTATGAAGACACACACTGCTTGATAAATTTCGTTGAAACGAAATTATAATATTCCGTGCAAAAATTCACGTATTTTTTCTGGTCGTTTTCGTGTCACATGTGGGAATGAGCAGATTTATTTTTTATTTGAGAAAATTTGTTATTGAACTTTTGCTGGGGTTTTCTTTCTGGCGGGAAACTTAATTTCTTCAAGTATGATGATTTCCGAAAGCTACAACAACTCGGGTTTCAATGGGATTATTTCTGTCATTTTCTAAAAATAATTCAAAATTGTGTTTGAGAATCTCGATACTGTATGACAATTTTTTTAACGATTTATTGGAAGTTCGTTCTAACGAGAGGAAATTAGCTGAATGTATTTTTTCTCAATTTTACGCGAGAGTCACGATTTAACGATTTTATTTTTTTCGGGTCCCTTGAAGTTCGTTGTTGAAATTTCTATATTTTAATTATTATTAAGGATCGGTAACTTCATGGTTATTGATTGATGGAAGTATCGAAATCGTAATTCCACTCTCTAAATTTAGACCTCACTTTGGCACTGGTGAAAGTGACCTTGCCTTGATTTACGAGTTCGTCATGATTCCGTTATCAATTATTGCACTCGATTGGGAAACTCGCAGATTTTTCTTTTTTTTTGTGTGCATGAACTCGTTGATTTTTCTGCAATTTTTGGACACGGATTCCTCACGCGACTTTTAAGAAATTTGACAGTTTGAATGCGCAGTTTTTGTCTACAGTATAATGATAATTATTTTCTATCGCTTTTTTTTTTGCAGACGACTGGGAATGTCTGAGAGTTTGTTTTCCAGGCTGGACAACCCGGAATTGACAATTGAGCTGAGTATTCAGTATCGGATGAATTCGGAAATCATGAGACTGCCGAATGAGTTGACTTATGGTGGAAGGCTGAGGTGTGCGAGTGAAGAAGTTGGAAATTCATGTTTGCCGGGATATCTTCAGGTTAGTTTCTGCAAAATTGATTTTTGAAAAACTTTCAATCTTGAGAAATGAATATCCGAAAACGTTTGAGATTTTTAGGCAGTTTTTAAGAAAGAAATGTGAGAGGGCGTCTAAACCAAAATGCGTGTTTGATTCGATTATTTAAAAAAATTTCGACGGAAACGGCAAATTTTAAATATCAAGTAAGCTGTTATTGTGAACCCTCCGCGTGAACTTCGCATTCGATTGTAAAATTTTAATTATTTTTTTTTCGCGGAAATGTGCAAAAAGCACTGTTTCACCGGTATAAACAGTTTTAGCAGTAAATTTACAGGGATCACTGAATAACTCAGGAAATCGTGTGTAATCTATTATTCCACAGTATTTTATTCGTTTGTAAAACGTTCGAGGTTTCCGCAAAAATTATTCATCATCTGATGGCAAATTATCATTCACGGAACAGAATCCAGAAATATTTGAAAATGTCTGTTTAACATGTTTTAATTTTCCAATATTTTTTTTTTATCTGGTAGAATTATCCGATTATTTTCTGAAGTAGGTCTGAAATATTATTTGCCCCAAAGCCAAGTTTCAGAATTTCCGGAAAGTGGTTTTTGTCCTTGGTAATAATATTATATTGCAGTCGGTAACTTTTCTCAAATGCTAAAGATATTCTTGTGACTCCACAGGACACGTTGAAGGAGGAGCCTGAATGGTTGCAAAAAGTTCTGAACGTGGAATTATTGAATGCTGTCAAATTTCTGACAACTAGTCAAGCGTTGTCAAGTTGCTCGGAAAGCAAAGATGTGCACGGGAGAATAGTGAACTTGGGAGAAGCGAATTTGATGCTGAAAATCGTGTCAACCCTTGCTGAGGTATTATTATTATTTATTTATTTTTTTACTACGTTGAATTTATTTTATTTCATCTTCTCAAACGAAAAATGGTTTTCTAGGCTGGGTTTGACGAAGACGAGATCGGGGTCATCACGCCATTCAGAGCCCAGGTGAATCTGCTGAAACAGGCCCTGAGGGAGTCGGATTTGACCCGGGTCGAGGTCAACACTGTGGACCAGTACCAGGGCAGAGACAAGAGCGTCGTTATTTATTCCTGCGTTCGCACGTCTGCCGATGTTTCCACGGTCAGTCATTGACTCGAAATTTTAAAAAGACAATTGATAATTTAATTCTTTGAGTGCCGAGACACTTTGTGATTGGAGAAGAAGAGACGCAGGAAACAATTTTTGTTGACTATATGTGTTGTTGAACGTAACTTGTAAATCAAGTTTATTGAAGACAAATGTCTTCAATATAACTTGATGTGGAGTGTACATTAAAAGATAATAAAACACGTTGATCAGTCCAGGACAGCACCAGGAATTTTGTTTAGGAATTCCTAGTTTAAAGGGAGAAGTGTATTTCGAAAAATATAACTGAATAAATCAACTCAACAAACTCAACTTGTGAGAATAACTTGGATAACTTGAGTAACACTCTGAACTGATGAATTGATTCTTCCTTTCATGAGATGAAAAAGAGCAGCTTATACACTACTAATTATATTTAACCTTCAAAAGGTTTTACTTCACAAATCTGTAGGAAAGATATGGTTGAGTGTGCTGGGGTCTGCAATTTTGAGGAGGGGGATTATTTCATACTTCTGAGAATTGTATAGAGTACATTACTTTACATGGTGTGCACGCCCAACAAAGTTTTCTGAAGAAAAAAATGTATATCAGCTATTTGGCAAATTTGGATGTCTGGATGAAAGTTTTTATTTTTCTTTCTTCCCTGGCATCCATTTTTTTCACTAATGATCAGTAATGAGTATCTTGGTCAATTCTTAGTACATTACTCATTTTCTTTGTGCGCTCTCAATTTTTTGTGAATTTAGACTCATTTGTTGAAACTGTTCTAAATTAAAATTTCTTACTGCTGAAAAATTGAATCACGAGTAGAATGTGCTTCAGTATCTTTTTTCGTTCCACATTTTTCATTATATTTTTTAAAAAAGCTGATGGCATTTTTTTTTTAGCCCATAGCAGAAGAAATGTTCATTCTTTGGAAAGTTCAACTTGCATGTTGTCGACTCATTTCAAAATGGGCGGTTTTAGGTGAAAGAAAGCAATTTTTTAGCAAGATAATGTGACAGATTTTTGGAAATTTCGTGAACAAAATTCGTGGCTGCATTTTTGGAGGTCTTGGATTTTTACTGCCTGTCTTCTTGTTCCATGTACGAGTTACGATTACCGTTTGTTGAAATTTCATGATCAATGCGAAAAGTGTTTCTTACTTGTTCTTGTATGAGTTGATTCAATTTTTTGAACTACAAGTTGCTTCTGCTTTTATTTTACTAGTTAATGTGCATAAGCTAAATTATTGCTATTTTTAAAACAGAATGCTATTCCTTGCGCAGTAAAGTTTTGCACTCGTGGTGTTAGTTATGCAAACATTCAGGGGGAAAACTCATTATGCCAAAATCTTTTATCACTTCGCAAATTGTATTTCCCAAGTGTTTTTTTCAATTTTTCTTGTCGTAATAAATGCCTTTTTATCCGTATAAAAACAGAGGGATATTTTGAACGACGAGAGAAGATTGAACGTCGCCATCAGCAGAGCGAAGAACAAGTTGATTTTGCTCGGGAACCACGTTTCTTTGCGAATATTCAAGCCATTCGCTGCGCTTCTCGACATTTTGAGAACCGATCAAATTGTGGAGTACAAGGATTGATTTTTATTTTTTTTGTATTGCGTCCTTGGCAAGAGTGTTTCATGCTATTTTTCCGTCGCACGAATCAATTTTTTTTAATCGCCGGTTGCTTGTGAAACTTCTGTATATTTCGGGGAATTGATGGACTGTGAACGAAATTGAAAATTTATGCGTGAGACGCAGACATTCTTGTTTTTGTTTTTTTTTGCTTTGATATCCGTTATTTACGGCCTTGTATTTCGAGTATGAAAAATTCTTTTTATGCCATTAGCATTTACGTCAGGATTATTTTGTGGCTTTTGTTACGCCGAAGCAAAATAACTGTTTCAGGTCGATATATGTAGTTTTTTTTTCCTTCCTTTTTCGCAGATGATTCTTACGTGTCGGCACTTGGTTTCTTTCGCGACTTCGTTGGCAGTTAGGCGGAATATGGCCTCGTTAACTGTGCCATTATTCCGCGCACCGTACTTGAACCGAAGTCCCGTGAAAGTGAAATTCCCCGACGGGGAATGGCAAGACAGGAAAAGTGCGCAAGAGAGTTTGCGTGGAGGACATGACCCGGTTTTCCCCGATGACCCGACTTTGAAGGAGGAAACCCGTGCCGAGGATTTGCACACGTTTGAATTGAGCGATGACAGCGTGGGAACCGAGCCAGTGTTGAGGAACTTGAAATACAAGAAGTTGGAGTTGAATGACTCGTTATTCCGGTGAAGAAAAAAAACATTTCAATTGTGATATTATTCTATTATTTTTAATTGTGATTTTATTTTNCAGCGTGGGAACCGAGCCAGTGTTGAGGAACTTGAAATACAAGAAGTTGGAGTTGAATGACTCGTTATTCCGGTGAAGAAAAAAAACATTTCAATTGTGATATTATTCTATTATTTTTAATTGTGATTTTATTTTTTTTTCAATTGTGATTTTATTTCACAATCATGCTCTCATGTTTTTTTCTCCTGTGATTTCATTTAATTTTTTAGTTTTGATTATATTAAATTTTTAATTGTGATTTTATTATATTTGATTGCGATTTTATTTTTCGATTGTGGTTTTATTGTATTATATTGTCAATTATATTTTATTTCATTTTTCAATTGCGATTTTCCTTGCATTTTTCATTTCTCGGCAAACATTCTTCCAAGTTAAGATGAGTGTGTCTGGAATTTGGGATTTTTTTAAATTAAAAAAACGTTGATTCAAAGATCGAGAAAAACCCGAAAATCTATGATGAAGTGAGTCATATCCACGTACATGTAAGAAATTTAAAAAAAAAAACCATCACCAGATTTTAATCCCTTCTTTGTTCACGTCTTGTTGAATTGTTGCATAATGGTTCGTGGCAATTTTTTGAATTTAGTCATTTAAATGTGGATAATTCGAGAGAACGGTTTAAAATTTTCACGTCAGGAAATAAATTTTGAAGTCAGGAACTTTTTATTCGATGAAAGCGGACTGAATTTCTCTTAGTTTTTGATTTACTTTCGCTATGCAGTAAACTTGAGAGCAGCATGCAATGATTATTTTTAGCACCTCTCATCAAATGACTGCAAAAATTTCGGATGTGAACGCTTTTCAAACCCTCCTTTTTCCCCAGGCAAATGATGATGAACTCGAAAGCGTCCAAGAAACGGCGTCTGAAGCAAGGAATGAAGGACAAATACGATGTTTTCATGGTGGAAGGATCACGTTTGCTGAGAGATGCGATCGAAGTCGGTCTGGAGCCGCAAGCAGTTTTCTTTTCTCGGGAATCTGACCTGAAATCGTGTTTCACTCATTGTCCACCAGTCATTGAAGAAATCATGGAGGGTAAAATCTATAAAGTGCCGTACAAAACGATGCAGACTTGGTCTGATGTAGCGTCATCCCCTGGGATTCTCGGTTAGTGTTTAACCGGATTTATTCCCGACGTTGATGTTTATGGATTGAATACTATACAGTATTTGGAAAGATGGCACGAAACAATTGCTCCTAGGGTTCCGTGAATTTTTGATGACGAGTTTCCTTTTAGAAAACATTTCCTTTGTTTGATCTCGTCAACTTGGTTTTTTTTACTCAAAAAGGCTAATTTGCTAAATATTGATGCGAATTTGTTGAAAATAGTGCAGAATGTTACATTTTCTAATTTTTTCCACTTCAGAATTCTTTGATAATTACAGTTTTCCCATTTTGCAGAGGACTTTCTGTAATTTAAACAAGGAAATTATGCCTAAATCTGAAGATATTCTTTAAGAACGTTTTTCGTATTTGTGGGGCACAGAGGGCACGTCATTAAAATGTAAATAATACTCGCGTTAAAAAAGAATTGAAAACTCGAATGAATGGAATGCAGCAGTGGGAAATTTCCTTGGAAGTTCTGGCTTCCAAGAATTGCGCAACATATCGATTTTTTCCTTTTTTGCAATTAACAAAATTGCATAATGTTCCTGGCTTTTTAGCGCTCAGTTGTGTGCACAAACCTTCATTTGTGTGCTCTCCTACGAATTTAAGATCTTGTGTCTTGTCCGTTTCTACATAATTTCTGATTTAAACTCTGCAAAATACAAAGTATTCTTCTCTGAAGATTCCATCGTGGACTTCCTGCCGTGTCCCTGGCAGATTGCGCTTTTTATTCCTTTCAAATTCTTTGTGGGCTCATTGCCCTACAAAATTGGTAGCAGAACGTGGTTTCAATCCACGGACCTCTGGGTTATGGGCCCAGAGGAAGGTGGACAACATTTCACGATTCGGATTCTAGTTTTAAATTCATTAAGACATTTAAACCTGCAAAATTTAAACATGGGCAACATTTCATTATTTGTATTCCAGTTTTAAATTGTTTCAAATAGTGTTACCAGCCCACAAACCAGCGCCATTCCGCAGAAATTTTATTTGGCAGAATAAAATTCTTAAAAAAATAGCAATGAAGGAAGTTACATTATCTTTATCTGAAATTTTGGGAAGACAATGACAGTTGAAATGATCTCATGGAAAATAAATGTTGGCTTTTCTCCTTATGACACGTCAGACAAATGTTCACCTGTTCAAATAAATTTTTTTTCTTGTTCATTCTGAGGAAACTTTCTTCATGCCTACTTTTCTAATTTCTTGTTTTGACATTAAGCCATAGCTGCTTCATTGCGGCGCAACTGCATTTTTGAAGAAAAAACAAAAACTCTTCAATACCTGCCATAAAGTCTTTCAAGCAAAACTTTTGTGTGTCTGCAAACATTTTTATTAAAGTTTGCTGGTCGAAAGAACAATTTTTTGGGACTTTGCCAGTCGCGGAAAGTTTTATGGAAATTTGCCGGTCCGTGGGCCCAAAAAGGTTGGGGAACGCTGTTTTAAACGATTTAAACCCGCAAAGAAAAATGATTTTTTTCAATACTGTATATATACTGTAATTCAATAGATACGGGATCAGATCTTATTGTATTGCCATTTTGTTCATGAGTTCATATCTTTCCAAGGTGTTTTCTTGAGGAAGGAAGTCAACAAAGTTCTGGAAGACATGGAAAATTCTCAGGAAATCAAGGAGTTCACGGTGATCATGGACAATGTTAGGGATCCCGGGAACATGGGTTCAATGTTGAGGTCCTGCGCTGCTGCGGGTTGTCGTCGGGTTATTTTGACAAAAGGTGAGCATGAAGGTTGTTGTGAAAAGATATGCCGTGAAAATTTTTTTCGTGAACTCCTGTGTTATCGAAATACGGAATTCAATGCCATTGATGGCTCTAGAATGGAAACAATAAAATATACGTATTAGGGATATCCATTCCGAATGACCCTGACGAATTTTTTCACGTTTTTCCTATTGATCGAGTGTCTTCGGGAAGTAAAAACCGGCCGTGCTGGAGGTAATTCAGTCGAACAAATGATGTCAAATCATGAGTTGATTGTCGGAACAGATTTTCAGAGGTGTTAATTCAAGTTGACCTTGTAAATGTATATGTTTTTCTTTATGACCTCGACGTTTTCGGAGGCGACGTTTTTTGCTATTATTTTTGCGAAGAAGGAAAGATGAGGAAAGCGATAAAAATTTTAATTGATGCTTTTTGAAAGGAAATTAAAGATTAACGGTGCAAATAAACCCTTACCTCCCATGTTCTGCATCCTGTCTTTTTCTTAAAAAAAAAACCGCTAATTGCAAATTTCTTCAATTCATCTTTTTTGAGATGGAAATGGTAGTTTTCCCAATGCTTCCTCAAAATCGATTTTTTCTGGTCCCATATGGAATTCAATTTCAAAAGGTTCAATTGCAGTTGCATTCTCATCCTCCTCCATTTCTTTTAATGACTTGAATTATTATCTGCACATAATTCGCACTTATCCATCAGGTTGTTTTTTTCAAATCTTACAGTCATATTTGGATGTTGGCAAGATTTCTTACTTTGAACCCCCAGAATTATCTGTAGTCACATATTGTTACGACTACCTCATGTAAAACACTTATGAGTTCACTCAATATTTTACATTTTGGTGCTCTCATCAATGCTCCACTTCACTTTACATTTTGTTGCAATGGAGTATGTTGACACCAATTTGGATTAGCTGCTGTAAGCATTCTGTTATACCTTGTTGGCACAAAGTTATTAACATGTGTGGCTTGCATCATTGCCAAGGAAGCTTCTCTCTTTGACTTTGTTGTCAAACCGTGTCTGCCTTGAATTGCTCCACTCTTTTACAAATAAAATATTGTTCAAGAGAATAATAAATACAAATGCCATGTATCTAATCGAAGTATTTTCTATACTTCTTCAAAAGGACGCAGAAACAATTGAAACCTTAGAGAACCCTAAAAGTTACTCAAATTATGTTGAATCAATTTTAAACAGTAATTCTGATCAAAGTAAATTTTGGTTTTCACCAGTTCAAGTATCAAAATTCATTTTTCCCAACAATTTGAGATAAAATTTTCTTCATTGAATTTGGGGAATCAAATAGTCATTGATTTTCGCATGAAAAAAAAATCAGAAGTAGTTTTTTTTTTCATTGGGATCAATGAAGGGGGAAAAATCAGAAGTAGCTTTTTTTTCATTAAATTCGGGAAGTCAAATATAGTCATTGATTTTCATGTGAAAAAACCTTGAGGATGTTTCCAATTTTTTTAAATTACCCAAAATCAGTTTATGAGAAGAATTTTCATTTATTTTACAGGATGCGTTGACGCGTGGAACCCGAAAGTTGTCAGAGGAGGCATGGGATCCCATTTCAGACTGCCTTTGATAGACGACGCAACCTGGGAACAAATCAGGTCCACGATCCCTCGGGACTCTCAAATTTTCGTCGCTGATGCGGAATCAGCGGACACTGTTCCTTACCGAAGTGTTTCGTCCATCGTGGACAAGGACGCGTCGTTGAAAGGAAATTCGCACGCAGTTTTGATCATTGGCGGAGAAACTGAGGGACTGAGTCCAGAAGCCTACGGACTCGTGGCCGAGTTTGAGGATTGCAAACGAATTCACGTACCTTTGGCCAGAGGAATGGAGAGTTTGAATGTCAATGCTGCGTTTAGTGTTCTTGTTTTTCATATCTCAGGGTTGATGGAGTGACGATCGATTTGTTTTTTGTTTTTTTTTGGAAGGAGAAGAAGAAGAAAAATCGTTTATCGGTTTCTTTTCATTCATTCTTCTTGACGAGGTCTGCAGTCAACCAAGCAAGCGCCTGTATCTGAAGGAAAAGTTTCTGAAATTTTGAAAATTCTCGGTAATGTTGTTCTTTTTATGAAGACAGATCGTTCATCAGTTACCGTACTTTTCATTTGTTCTTCTTATTGACGAGGTGTGTCAACTAAACGCCTCTATTTGCAGGTATAATTTTTAAAATGTTGTTAATTCATCGTAATGTCTTTTTATTTATTTTTTTTGCAGAAGAAAAATCGTTGATCAGTTTCTTTTCGTTCGTTCTTCTTGCTGATGAGGTGTGTGAATCAGACGCCTCTATTTGAAGGACTAATTCCTGAAGTGTTGAAAATTTAGTGTTAATGTTTTTTGTTTTAAGTTCGCTCTTCTTGACGAGGTGTGTCAACTTGAAAACTCTATTTGAAATTTAAAGGAATAATGTTTAAATGTTAAAAGTTTGTAACGCATTAATTACATGCCTTAAAAGTGAAGAAATTAATGCAGAATCGAATGAGAGAGTTTCGTAAAATTATGTCTAAAATATGCCTGAATTACTCTTCAAATGCTCTATTATATTCCCTCAGTTGGCCAAGATGGGACTTTTTGTATTAATTTCGGCGCTTGTTTGAAGGATGAACAGTCTCATCATCATGGTTTCTTTATTTTCGTGCACTGAATGACCCGTTTCTTTTTCATCAATTCAGCGCATTTAATGCGAGGAATTTTTTTTTTCAATTATTTTTCCTGAATGTCGGAAGTATGGCCATGAAAAATTCAAAATCCCAAGTGAAGAAAGTTCGACACTGGCCTGGTTCTTTGATTGGGTCCATGTACGATGAAGATTCTGTGGTAGAGAGGCATGAAGACTTGGTTGTTATCAAGGACAATTACCCGAAGGTTAGTGGAATTTTTTTTTCTTTCTTATTTGGTTGCTTTCGTTGGAGATTATATTTTATGGTCGGTTTTTGTGCGTATTTTTGCACAAATGGAATTGTTATTTCAGCACATGAAACTGAAAACTGAGGGACTGAGTCCAGAAGCCTACGGACTCGTGGCCGAGTTTGAGGATTGCAAACGAATTCACGTACCTTTGGCCAGAGGAATGGAGAGTTTGAATGTCAATGCTGCGTTTAGTGTTCTTGTGTTTCATATCTCAGGGTTGATGGAGTGACGATCGATTTGTTGTTGTTTTTTTTTTTTTGAAGGAGAAGAAGAAGAAAAATCGTTGATCGGTTTCTTTTCGTTCATTCTTCTTGACGAGGTCTGCAGTCAACCAAGCAAGCGCCTCTATCTGAAGGAAAAGGTTTCTGTAATTTTGAAAATTCTCGGTAATATTGTTCTTTTTAAGGAGACAGATCGTTCATCAGTTACCGTACTTTTCATTTGTTCTTCTTATTGACGAGGTGTGTCAATTAAACACCTCTATTTGCAGAAATAATTTCTAAAATGTTCTTAATTCATCGTAATGTCTTTTTTTTCAGAAGAACAATCGTTGATCACTTTTTTTTTGTTCGTTCTTGCTGATGAGGTGTGTAAATCAGACGCTTCTATTGAAAAAACTAATTTCTGAAGTGTTGAAAATTTAATGTTGATGTTTTTTTTAAGTTTGCTCTTTTTGACGAGGTGTGTCAACTTAACATCTCTATTTGAAATTTGAAGGAATACTTCGTAAAATGTTAAAAGCTTGTGACGTATTAATTAACTGCCTTAAAAGTGAAGAAAGTAATGCAGTATCGAGTGAGAGAGTTTCGTAAAATTATGTCTAAATTAGGCCTGAATTACTCTTCAAATGCTTCATTATATTCCCTCAGTTGGCCAAGATGAGACTTTTTAGATCCATTTCGGCGCTTGTTTGAAGGATGAACAGTCTCATCATGGTTTCTTTATTTTCGTGCGCTGAATGACCTTGTTTCTTTTTCATCAATTCAGCGCATTTAATGCGAGGGATTTTTTTTTTTCAATTATTTTTCCTGAATGTCGGAAGTATGGCCATGAAAAATTCAAAATCGCAAGTGAAGAAAGTTCGACACTGGCCTGGTTCTTTGATTGGGTCCATGTACGATGAAGATTCTGTGGTAGAGAGGCATGAAGACTTGGTTGTTATCAAGGACAAAATGGGCTTCCAATCACCTTAAAAAAAAAGAAAGAATAAACCAACGAAAGCAACCTCTAATATAAAATACCAGCCAAAAACACGCATAAAAACGTGTTTACCTTAACAATAAAGTCGTGTACTTTGACTGTATGATCTGTTTCAATTGCCGGCAACAAGAAAGTAAGATCAATTTTACAATTTACAATCCGAAACGGATTTTTAATCCTTCTTAAATCCGAGATTCACGCAATTTTTTTGACCTGATGGGCGAATCATAAAATGGAATCTTTGAAAAAGACCCTATTGAAAAATAATTATGTAATAAATATTTGCATCGTTTTACCAATGAATAATTTCGAGATACAAAAATGACAACCTTTCTTGAATGGCTTTTATTGCTTTGAAATACTGTCACTCGAGTTTTTGAAAATTTTTTTTGACCGTCCGTCTTCATGTTCAACTCAATCCATTTTTCCTTTATTAATTTTTTCTGAGGCTCTTTCAAGCAACGATTGACAGCCTCTGGCTTGAACAGTATCAGGAAATATTTTATTTTAAAAATTCTTGTAATTTAGACTTGATCGGAAGTCGCTCTTAATCGATCTTCCAAATCTTGGAATAATGCTCGAGTCATTGATTAATTTGCCAGTCGTTCATTTTGTTTCAGGCAAAGCATCATTTCCTCGTTTTGCCTGTGGAGATTTAGGGATCAAACTCTTTAAACCTCTCCTTTGTGAACGGGAACGAGTCTGTTTACCTCTTTCGGCCTTCTTTGCAACGTCGGTTCATAGGCCTTAGGTGAAAGTTCAGTCACGCTTTTTGGCAAAGGATAAATTGTTTTTGCCTGATTTCTGAATTTTTTTTTCTTCATGTTCGCTATCGTATAGAATCGGTTACCACGCATTGCCGAGCATGTCCCAAGTGCATCTCCACGTGATCAGTGACGACTTCGTGTCGGCATGCCTGAAAACGAAAAAGCATTTCAATTCCTTCGCCACTGAATTTTTCCGGAGCACTGAGGATGTGATGAAAGAACTCGAGTCCACGGGAAAAGTGAAGCCCTTGTCGTCTGACGAGGCGAAAGCATTCATGGACACTCTGCTTAAGTGCAATCAGTGCTCATTCGTCGCCAAGAATATCCCGCTGTTGAAATCTCATTTAGAAAGTCATTTGAAAAGTAAAATGAAAGGTAACAAATCCTCGTGATCTTGTATTCTCCGTTCAAGTAATTTTTTCGAGGACCGACATCTGCTCCGGGAAGAATAAATACTGCAATGGTTTGTGATTGTCCGCACGTCACTTTCCTGATTTTATTCCATTGTTGTTCTGGGGTATATGTCATGAGTCCATTGGATCCCAGACAAAGAACTTGAATAAGAACTCAAACTCTTTTCAGAGGATTTCATTCTTATCATTCTCATTGCCAAGATAATCATTTGGCTGTTAATGATGGAATGGCAGAGTCAATTGTAAGATTGGTTGGTTAGCTCAGAAGCATAAATAAGTTGATTTAAGTTAAAAGGCCCTTTTAACACAAGATTCTCACTTCTCCTCTCAGAGGAATAAATGCTATTATAGCCAGGTGCTTGGACTGGGTCAGGAAGAAATCAGGCAATTTCTTCGTGGCTCAGGAATGGCCAATTGTTGTAAAATTGAAGTGTGATGACCACCTCTTGGCCTTGAGTGAGGCTCAGTGAGTCTTGCAAATGGTATTTTTGTGAGGCTCACTGGCCTCAAAATACAATGAGTTTTCTTGATGGCCAGATGCTGGAGCTGCATTTGGGACATGACACAGTACGCAAAAAGTGAATATAAAAATAAGGGTTCTCTCAAAGAGTATTCCCAGCCCATGGTCTGTGGACCAGTGCCAGTTGACAAAAGTTTTTTTGGGGGTCTGTGAGAAATTTTCTTCAGCATAGTAAATTCAACAGAAGTAACAATGAAGTCTCATCTTGATCTGAACTTTTGGAAAGACAACAGTGGTTGAAATCATTTGATGGCAAATAAAAGTTGGCTTTTCTCCAAATAGAACTTCTGACACATTTTCACCTGCTGAATGAGGAACCATTTCAATTTTTCATTTTGAGAAATCTGTCTTCAAGCTCACCTTTATAATCTTTTTCAAGACATTCATTTAAAGCTTCTTCATTGGTTCTTGACTTAGTTTTTGCAAAAATTAGAAAATTTTTAAATACCTGCTGACACAAAGTTAAAAAAAACTTCTTTGAGTCCACAAAAAATATGAAACTTTGAAATACTGTACTAGAAAATATTTTTGGTCAGTTGCTGGGCAAAAGAAAGTTTTTATAAAAATTTGCCGGTCTGTGGGCCCAATAGGTTGGGGAATGCTGCATCTAGAATTTAGTACTGTACAGTATAAATAGTTTTAAAACATGCTTCCTTGACATTTCAGCACAAATTGCACCAATGGGAAATTAAGAAGCTTAATGTTCATTAATAAATAATGTCAAACCAAGTTCAAAACTGTGAAAAATGAAGTGCATCAATCCTTAGCAGCTTAATCAAACTGGCACTCTAGAAAATTATGCTGAGCCACTTTTATAATTTTCAACTGTGTATCTGTGATATAAGAGTCACTGCTCGCATTTTTCAAATATACTGTACAATGATTGAGAAATTCATTATGACAAGAGTGTACTCCCACAAAAAAATTGCATCATGCTGATTCAGATTTCTGCTGTAAAGAAAATATGTAACTTCAAATCTCTATAAATCTAATTTTAAATTTTCATAACCAATATTTTTCTGCAAGGAATATTGCGAAGTATCTCTTGGAACGTAATCCACAAAATATTTATTCATAGCAGTTTTCAGTTTGACTAGCTTGAGAAAAACGAGAATTCAATCCAAACAATGTATTGACAAAATAAATTAAAATTGTGCTGCTGATTTCAGAAACTTTCAAAAATTTTTCATGTATACAAAAAAAAAAGAATTCATTCACGGCACTGGGGTTGAAGTGACACTAGTTGAAAGTATTGGAACAAGAAATGTTGCTTGGGTTTCTCCCTCATCCTCCAACAAATAATCGCTTTTGCTTGTTGTTGTTTCCAAAATTGGATTTCCATGAATTTCAACACTTGTTGTGGCTTTCTCTGGGATTTCAGCGAAATCAGCAGTTACTGATGTCACCAGATGATGAGTGGTTGTGAGTGTTGTTGTAGATGATGTTGTCCTTGGCGTTGTTGTATCTTCTGACACGTATTTGAAAATGTCAATTTCCGCAGGGATTTTCTCTTGCGCTTTTGTGAAAGCGTGATGATTCCCACATTTGAGGTAACCAAGAAGTAGTCCCATGCACAACATGGAGACCAGAATGAGGATGGAGGCAAAGGCCACTGTCAGGAAACTTGCTGGTGTGAGCATGGATCTCTGGTTTGATCCTGGGAAGTGGATTTCAGTGTCTTCACTCTGCAAAGCATCAATAATAAATGACCTCTATGAAATTTTCAGTGTTGCAATGGTTGCATAATGAGTCCAAGGATTTTATTAAGTGGTATTAAGTACAGTACCATCATGTGCCCCATTTTTTTTTTTCAAAATTGAGGGGGTAAAATTGCATGCCTTTTTTATGCGCATCCCCCTTTTTACTCTGAAGTTTAAGAAAAATGTGCATGTGGTACTTGAGTAAATATGCTGGTGCTTGAGTACCGTGCACGTGATCTGTTGGACTCTGGAGAAAGACACATGCCTTGATTTATCATTCTAAAATTTGGACAAAAAAACAATATCCAAATGTATGAAACATATGCATTCTGATTTTAGCGATTGAAAAATCGCATTGCTTTGAAAATTGAATTCATTAGACCATTTGAATTTTAATTTGAACCTAAATTAAATTAATTTTCCATTTTCTGAAAATTGTTTGTTGAAATGGGTCCACACTTTTCTCTGATTTAAGTATGATGTGCACATATAAACTTTTAAAATATAAATTTATATATTTACCAATGATGCACATCACCCTCCATTCAGGATATTTTAAACTCTCATTATTATAAAACATCACTCAGAACTCAGGAGCTCTTCTTAAATCGTGAAAATAGAAATAAAATGAAGGACAACAACATGCTTAAAATGCATACCTTGAAGGACATGTAGCCATCAAGACTGTTGCCTTGCTCAGGTTCCCCTGGATTTTCTACATCCAGTGTTTCAGCACTCATGATTCACACACTTCACTTTTTTTACATTCTACAGAAAAATCAATCCATTCATATTTGAATGAAAACATTTTCAGTAGTCTTTCCTCAAATTTGAATTACAAAAAGAAACAATGCGTGTCTTCTTGAACTTTTTGATTTCCCAATTGCAAAATGCTCTCACAAATATCATCTTCAAAATTCATTCTCCCTTGTATGGCCTCATTCTGTGCAAACTAGAAAAAAATCACTGTGCAACAATTAGCTTTTTTTAGTTGACTGAACATATACATTTGTATATGATGATGGAACTTGGGTACAATGAACTTGGATTCCAACCAAGTAATGCCTTCACGACTTTTTAGAGGACATTTCCCTGATGAAGTGAACCACAATAATGCAGTAAAAGCAAAAAAAAATATACGCTGATTTTTTGTCTTGTCCAGATTCACATTGTGGGGTTTGTATAAATAACCTGTTATACAGGATGAGCTTTGTAATGTAAAACATGAGTTTCAATAAGTTTTAATATAAAAATATGTTTCTTTCCTACATGCTGCACTTGAAAAATCCTTGATAGACCCTAAAAAAAATGCACAATTCAATAAGTTACTACATTTTAAATTTAGAATTTTAGACATTATATAAGCATAGAATTCAATTAATCTAATGCATTCAACAACTTTTGGGGATGATGAGGTAAAAAATAGCCCTAGAAACTTCACTTTTAATTTTTGCAATGCTGTTTCTTCATTTTGGATTAATTGAAAAGTTCGAGCTGATAACTCGCTAAAATTTAGCTTGTATTTTGGTTTATTTTGAAATTAACGTTTCTTTGAAAAAATTGCGTTGCCAAATTTCTTAAAAAATAAGCAGGAAAAAAAGTTTCTTCTATGACCAAAATGTGTCGCAAAAGTGTCCTATTAAGCCTCAAATTTTTGCATGGTACTGCGTATATAGGTATAAAAAAAAGGTGCGTCAATCATGCTGAAATCTTGCTTCTTTCAGCTTTGTTTGGTGCGAGATGCAGCAGACACGATGGGGCGACACCTGCCGGTGGGGTCCTTCATGAAACCCGGCTGACACTCGGAAGGCGGCACAATGGACATGACCTCTGGCACATGTGCTGGGTCCACCTGCATCACTGTCCTGTCATTATTATTATTATTATTATTCGTATTTTGTCTGATGATGGAATCCGACACGGAATATGTCTGCCCGGGCATCTTGGAAACTGCGTGATGCGCAGTCTCCGCCATGACACTTTCGCGCTGTTGTTGGCACCTGACATAAGCAAACAAGAGTCCAATGCAGACCAGAGACACTAAAACAATGGCTGCCACCAGGAGCACATGAATCCCAGTGGCTGTTGTGTAGCTGGAAGCTGCTGCCTTTTGCTGCGCGAGTGTCATGGCGGCCTCTATGTTCGAGTCCAATGACTTATTTTGGCCGTGTGATGATGATGATGATGAGGTCTCTTTGGCTGTTGGCTCAGTTCCGTCCTTCTGTGGCTCCTGCAAATCAAAAGAACCGAGTAGAATAAATGCCCATATGCAGGGTGTTTGAATATATGTTTTTCTTAAGTAGGAGAAATTTTTATTAAAATTGCAATTCATACGCATAATTCAAATAACCACGCAAGTGGGGAGCTATTCTTTGTGTGACCCCACAAATGGTGCACACTGGGGTCACAATTGGTGTACATGGGCTATTCTGGGGTTACAAGCATGCACCTCTGCAGACAAAAGTTTGCTACCATTCCTGGGCTACATTTGGTGCACAAATGTGACATAACAGGAGTATCACACAATAAATGCACCAACTGCAACCTTGGTGTAACTTATTTGTTTACAAATGTGACCTTGAGTAATCCTGGTGTGAACGCACAATTGGTGCACATTAGGGATATGCATGTGCAGCAGAAGAGCTTTGGTACACTTCAAGTGCGCAGCAGGGTCACTGCGTAGAATTACAAACATATCCCCAATGTGCACCAATTTCCCCACTGAGGCAGGCAATATATATTGGGCATCAAAGAATTGGTGACGTCAAATGCAGATAGTTTTGAATAGTATTATAGTTTCTATGATAATTTATTTAAAATTTTTTGTATCATATGCTAAAAGTGCAGGGTGAAAAAATACAGCCCCATTTTAAAAAAGAAATATTGTACAGGTAAACTCTCCCTGCAAAAAAAAGAGATTTAGGCACCAGATAATATGCGTTGTAGAATGACTTTTGTTGTGGAAAAGCACCCTATAACATGGACATATTACCCCATGGGACTAAAAGAAAATCATTCTATATGTGTAAAATGGGAGAGATATTTGGTTTAAAGAACATGGTTGTATAGGGAGGGTCCATCTGATGCATTTGCAAAATATAAAGAAGCTGAATTCAAGCCTTATGTTTACAAATATGCATAGAATAATAGTCCAGCTGATTATAATTAGAGCAAGTAGTTTGTGTGTTTTGTTATGTTATGAATACATAATGGAACACTGTAAAACTCATTTCTGAAAATCTTTTTCTTGGTCAAGAGAAATTTTTGTTAAAATTGCAATTCATGCGCATAATTCAAATAAACAGGCTTTATACATGAATGGGTACCAAAGAATAGGTGACATCAAATGCAGATAGTTTCAAATACTGTAGTTTCTATCATACTTTATTTAAAATTGTTTACATCATATGTTAAAAGTATTATTGTTAATTTACAGAACTTGCTTGGGTACCATGTGTACTTTTCACCCTCCAAAATTGAATTGAGGTGCATATTTTCCTTCAATCACTGGATACAGATGCATCATGCAAAAGAAAATTGAATGCAATTGACTCTTCCTTTCCCTCTAGCATACATTTAAAATTTCAAATGTGTTAATTCTTGTATTGTAAATATTTTTGATTGAAAATTAAAATGCTTGCAACTTGGCTGGGTCACATAAGACATGCTTTCAGTCTATTTATTTTGGCATTTTAAATTCATCCATTTATTGCAGCTGCATATATTGTCGTAAATCAATATTTTGCAAAAAATCAAGTTCTGTAAATATATTCAGCTAAATATGAAATTGTGCTGATATAAATAAATTTTTCTTGGATCCCAAGTTGAACCAAGAAATATATGTTAACAAGTATATCGATCAATAATGAGGACGTGCGAATAACGGTTGATGACCTTTTTTATTCAATTTTAAAAAATTATTAAAAATGTGTTACGCATAATATGAAATGATTTGAAAATTATCTCACCTGCTTCTTCCTGATGGCTTCAGTTTTTTGTTTGATCTCTTCCATCATAGCACGATAAGAATTTTGTCTTATAAACATTTATGATCTCCGAAAACGCGTCAAATTTTTCGTGGACGAATTAAAATCCTCGTTCATCACCGCGACGATGATTTACACACTCCTTTTCTTCTGAAAAACACGTTTTGTTTTCGGAGTATGTTTCTTGATTACTTTTTTTTCTTTTTACTGGGTAAAGAATAAACGAGAGCACAATTATATATACAGTATTTCATACATAAAACAATTGCATATATGTTCTATACGCACCAGAAAACAACATAACAATTTCTTCTCAGCCAAAACGATTGCCACAAACGGGCACAAAAATGGACGATCACGACTTTTTTTTTTTATACATTTTTACATTTCGAGACTAACTTTTCAAAATGCCCATTTTCTCCTTTTCTTTCCTCTTCTGCATCTTCTATATTACACTAAGGAATCCACAGTAATTAATGTAATTATATGTAAGGTATTTAGAAATTCACTTTCCAATGCAAAAAAAAGACTATCTGACATAGTTTTGAAATAACGAAATTTATATTCATTTCAATTTTTGCAGTAAACTGAAAAATTGATATTGGATGTTTGCAAGATGTATTCAATACTTGCCTGCATATTTTTCGCCAATGATGGTCTCAAATACCCAATACTGTAATCATACATATAATAATTTTTTGTGACGCAATCGATTTCAATTCGTGTTGAACAAAATGAAAGGCATGATTTTGAAATTATCTGCTCCGTCATGGCGGAAAGGTTTTGCTGGAGATTATACTAGAAAATTTCCAATTCAAAATAGGCTGACGGTAATTTAAATAAAGCAAGAAGCATAAAATTCCAGGAATGTAACTGATTATTTTCCAGAATATCTGGGATTTTTCATGAGTAAATTCCTATCATTTGCCCTCCCGATTACCTGTAAACAAAAAAAAATGTAAAAATCCCTAACGCAATGCATTTAAAATGACTGTACTTTCACTACTGTACTCAAGTGCATTATTCAAAAAAGGATTGTTGAAAATAAATGTTTTAAAAAAACTGACGCTTTTCCATTCTCTCCAAAATTTGAGCCACTTTCAGGATCGAAATAAAAATGAAATGATGGAGAGAAATAATACTTATCTCGTTTTTAGAGCCAAAGAATTCTCGGAGTGGTAAAATAATTCCCATAATATGAAGGATCTTACTCAGCTCCTTTATAGATTTTTATCATAGAGAAACTCATTAAAAATCTTTGGAAATTTTTATGGCTAGAATGCACTTTGTTCAAAATGAATCGCTCTGGCATTTTAGGATGAGCCAAAATATCCTTGAAAATGACGCATGCGATATTTTCACACTATTTTCGGGCACTCACAAAAATTTCTTCTTTTTTTTTGTCTGGCTCATTTCTTGCATTAAAGCTCATTTCTGGTCCTTCAAAAAGCATCTTAATCAAAGTACGAAAGTTCTGCGACAGTTTGAAAGTGATTTCTCAGTGTTTGTTGCTTCTGGAAAGTCTGTAAATGTTCCTGTGGAATTTTTTGGTCTGCTCATCGTCAGCGACGTCATCTCCAGCCTGGTGACCATTGGAGAACTTGTACGGGGGTCGCAGCGGCGACAACCGCGCCGCGACGTGATTCTCGCCGCTGATTTTCGACCCTGCGGTGCTAGATGTCGCATCTGTCGTCGTCGTCGTCGTCGTCACAGTCGTCGTTCTCGCTGGAATAACAGTTGACGTGCGTCTGTAATTCGGCAGCGGTTTTTGCAGGAAGGGTTCGTGGGTTTTCGGAGGGCGACTTAGCCTGGGTGACCCGTAATACGACTCTGGTTCATCGCTGAGTTCCCGGTCGAGCGACACGTATTTTTTCTCGTGACGATAATGAGCCGTGTCACCTACCGACGACTTGTGCAACTGTTGCTGATGATGCACGTGAGCACTGTGACACCGGAGATACAGAGCTGAGAGGAGTGCCGTGAGCACTGTCACTACAACCAGCGCGGTTGCCAGAGCAGCTAGTGCCACTTTCCGGTTCCGCCGCAATTGTTGGATGACCTTTTCCGGACTGGGTGATGTCAGCACTGATGATGGCGGCGGTTTTTCTCCTGCTGATGATGGCGGCACTCTGGCTGGTGGAGGCGGCGATGGCATGTCGAAGTGCTCGATGGTGGCTATGGGTGGACCTACTCTGGGTGATGAGAGCTGGGGGAGTAAATTGCAGAGAAAAAAGTACAGTGAGACCCCCACATATGGACACCTTGACCTGTGGAAAATTCAACATAGGGACACTTATTTTCTAATAAAAAATTAATAAAAAGGCCCCACATGAGGACACTGACTCAACATAAGGACATTTTGTGATGAAATTGCAATTAAGTTTCAGGCCAAATTACAAGAAACAGATGTTTCCAAGTCCAACCCTAAAATTGATGTTAGAAAAGTTCTTGGGCATTTCTCTCACCAATTTACCACCCATTTAGCTAATCTAAAAAAATTACCTCCAGCAGAGAGGGACTTCCTTCTCTCTTTTTCACTTGAATATTAATTTCTACAGAGAATGCCAACATTTCCATGTACTGTACAGATGTAACAGTATTCAATTCCCCAAATGTCCATATTGTGTTGAAATATATTGATTGGAATCAGTTTAAATTGGGGGACAATTTTTTATTTTCACGGAATTATGGTGAGCATTTTCTACATAAAACACCAACTAAAATCTATATAATGTAAGTCTAAGGGAAAATGAGACTTGACTTATGGACATTTCAACTTAGGGACACTCTTGATGCACCAATTATGACTGCATCTCAGGGTTTCACTGCACAATGAAATATTGTTACAAATACTGTACAGTCAACCCCGACAGAATGGACCGCCTGTGATGGAATAATTTGGTACCTTAATTTACTGCTATACTTGCATAGGTACATTCAAGAAAATACAAGAATACTCAAATTGGACTGCTGTTAGATGGCAGCCATGTTAATTTCATACCAGAGATTTTAGTCTGTGCCTTTCAAGGGTTTCAACAAATCAGTTGCAGCAGAACTGACTGTAACAGACAGTACAGGGTGAGATTTTTGGCAGAAATGTTACCAGTACTGTATTATCAATTGTGTTTTTTGAGTGAAGAAGTGTGAATCTTGGGGTTTAATCAAAATACACTTTTATCTTTATCTTTGGGATTTCATATAAGGAAATACCCAGCTGCACCCCACAGCTGATTCTGTGTTTTATTTTCAAAGTTCCACAAATGTTTGCCTCCTTTTGTGAATATAATTCACACTGTCCACAGTAAGGATTTTTGCAGAAGTGCCTGCTTCCATCAGAGACGCTTTTTCCTTGCCCAGAACAGAAAAAATTCACAGAACAGACTTCAGTTTGTATAGAACTGCCATTGCATCTCATTTTCCCATAGACTTCAATCCAAAAACATGTGATGGGTCCTCCTTTCTATCAAACATTAGGCATAATTTCTCAAAAATGTTGAATAGAAATTCTTTGCCTTAACTTTTCAAGAAACAGGAAACAACTGCCAGTGGACATGAGTCCCTTTTAGGTCCTTGGCAAAATTTACAGAACAGAATTTTCACAATACAGACTAATCTGTTGCACAAGTCAAGTCCATTCTGTGGGGACTAACTGTAACAAACTTCCAGGGACTTCAGAAAAAGTTTGTTATACAGCTGGAATCCAAAATGCGGATGTAATTGGGGTTCCTTGTGGAATAAGTGGCATAACTTTGTAAAGCACCTGTTTTGTAAGATATTTAGGGAAGCTTACATTTTTTTCTGACATAAATCTGTCAGCCTTTAAATTTCAGGTAAATCATAATGTAATACAATAGTGCTATGGAGGATAAAATGCCCATTTTGCCTCAAAAATTACGATCCAGAAGTATCATACTGTAATGTGCATCACAAGTACTTTTTTGCCCAAATTTTATAAATTGGTTGTGTGTCATGCTTTGAATGAATTCACCATTCAGTGACGTTTAAATATATAAAAATTTCTGATACTAGAAAGAAAAAAAATTTGTTGGAGAGAGAATTTCATTGTGAGCCCCTATAACATGGTAAGAGACCCCTGTGGGCCCACAAAAAGTCATTATGCTTTAGTCAAACCTCACTTTGGTAGTTTGATGCCACCATTTGTTGTGGTCTATTTTGTGGCACTAAGTGAGGGTGGCACTAATTTGAGGATATTATATGAGAGAGCGGTTCAAGTTAGGGTTTCCATTATAGGAAAAATAAGCTTGTTTGCAGAATTTTTAGGCTAGTCAAGGTGTTTTATAAGAGAAAAAGCCTCTATAAATAATTTGAATCGCAAGTGTACTTTTTTCATGCTTCATTTCAAAATATGTACTAAGGCAGAATAAAGTACAGTATTAGATTTTTAAACTTATGATGCCTATAGTAAAAGATCACAGCAGTTTCTCAAAATTTTGTGTGCACTTGAGTTAGCTTTATATGAAGTGGCATGATGAAGGAATCATCAATGTTTCCACAAAAGCTTCCACTTTTTTCTATTTTCAATGAAGGAGGGTATCATTCAATTAACATATTTTTCAATAATTGAAATTCAATAGAAGACTTCTCCCATTCATGTTGAGCATTATTTCAGCATGGGGATGTGATTATCAGTCAAAAGTGTTATAATCCAAGGATATACTTGAAAAATGCCTGAATTATTTCAATGTCTGCCCATTTTTTGAGCATGACAACGTTTTTTTTTTGTGGCACTAAGTGAGTTGGTATTAAAGTGGGGGTTTCCTTGAAAAAATAATGGATGGAGATTTGCACCAGGAACAATTGTTGCACTATGCAACAATTCATGTTGCATAGTGCAAGCTGAAGACCTTGTGCTTTAAATTAATTTTTACATATATTTTATTACCAATGTCAGGGAATGAATGGGTGTATGTGTACATGTCAGATGCCCAGTTGTATTTCATGCTGTATTGTATCTTCCTTTATTTTTGTTATCAATTTGTGCTTTCCTGCTCTGAAGTGATTAA